CATGCACACGAGATCTGTGTCGCGGCCCCCCCCCCCCTCCCCCCTTCGTGTGTGTCGTGTGTGTGTGACCAGTGGGTCCGGCACCGACAATGACGATGCGCTTGTTGTCTTTCGGCCGGGGTGTGAGCTTGGCCTTGAGGCTCTCGATGATCGGCATGGCGAGGCGGTGCTGGGGTGCGATAGGATGACAAGAGAGGGGTGGAGAAGGCCAGATGGGTGTGAGAGAGAGGTAGATCCAAAAGGTGACAAAACAGGCCAGGCAAGAGCGAGGAAGAGAATGCAGATACGAATGAGATACCCCAGACGGTAAACTGGCTTTCACAGAGCCCTAACAAACCCTTGGCGGCAAACCCTGCACCCAAAAAAACCTGCAGATGCATTCGTCGTGTTCAGCGCCATTTTGGCCATTGTCTTGAGACCAGCGCTCTGCTTCGGCCCTCCTCTGGTGACTAACCTCTGTGCGAGCTTATGGTTTGATTCGCGAGCCGTAGGGAGAAAAGAAAAACCTGCTCCAGAAGGTCCAAAGCTGCAGTTGTGTGTCAGCTGTACAGGTTTGTGGCTCTTGCGGTCGGAGATCTTGAATCGGGAGCTGCAGAGTTCACTCTTTCGGGGCGGAGCCCATCCAGACAGACAGGAGCGGCAACGAAGGTGGCTCATCGACAGGCCGGGCGAGTGCAGCAGCGGTCTCCTGCAAAGAAAACCTGAGAGGAGGGAGCTGCACTCACGGCATTCATGTGGAGGTCATCAACGAGGATAGTGCAGCCGCTGCCCGCCACCCTGCAGGTGACCACACACACACACGTGTATCAGATGATCACATGTATGCTGATTATCACATGTATGCAAAGCACAGACGCGCAGACGCTTACACAGTGTCTGTCATTCTTTGCTGTCTGTGACATATTCAGATTCCATGGAGGGCCCGACAGGGTGCCGTGTTGTGTCAGCACCTCCCCTGCCCTTCCCTCTCCCCACCGCGCCTCAGTGTGTGCTGCGTCCGCCGGTCGTTCGCCACGGGCGTGTTTGAGCGGACCAAGCCGCACCTCAACATCGGCACCATCGGCCACGTCGACCACGGCAAGACCACACTCACTGCCGCTATCACCAAAGTGGTCAGTGAGTCAGTCAAGTGGGTGGGAAGGAAGGGCTGTGCTGTGTGTGCGATGTGTCTGTCCGTTGGTGAGTGGCTGGCTGATGTTCCCTGCCTGCTGGGTACGGTGCGTGCAGCTTGCTGGTGAGGGCACGGCGACATTTCGAGACTATGCGTCGATTGATAAAGCTCCCGAGGAGCAGGTAGGCAAGCAACAAGGGAACAGGGGAAGGGACAGAGGCCCGCTATGCCATCATGCGCTGTCATTGCCTGCCTGTGCATCTATCTCGGTGGCTGCAGAAGCGCGGCATCACGATCAACGCGACTCACATCGAGTACGAGACGCCAGCGAGGCACTACGGCCACGTCGACTGCCCGGGCCATGCTGACTACGTCAAGAACATGATCACGGGAGCCGCACAGATGGACGGTATACAAATCCGGTCACACACACACGGCAGATCACCTGGTGCGTGTCTGTCGTTGTCCTTCTCCCAGGTGCCATATTGGTTGTGTCTGCCTTCGATGGCCCCATGCCGCAGACGAGGGAACACATCCTGCTGTCCAGCCAGGCAAGGCACACGATTGACACACACATAGGCCCTGCCTGCCCGTGCGTGTGTCATTCGTGTGCCTGTCTGTTCTGTGTCTGTGTCTATTCTGTGTCTGTGTCTGTGTCTGTGTGTGTGTGTGTGTGTGTATGTGTGTCGATGATCAATCAGATTGGTGTGTCCCGTTTGGTAGTGTACCTGAACAAGATGGACATGTGTGAAGACATGGAGCTCGTCGACCTCGTCGAGCTAGAGGTACCTACCTCGTCGACCCATGCATGGGTCATCCATTCATTCGACGTCTGTCTGTGTGTCATACCTTGCGATGCGTGGTGTGTGTCAGGTGAGGGAGCTGCTGACCAACAACGGCTTCCCGGGCGAAGAGACGCCGTTCGTCAGGGGGTCGGCACGGCAAGCACTCAGCGGAGAGCCGTAAGCAAAGCAAACACACCAAGAGCATTGGATGGATGGTTGGACTAGGAACGCGCCTCTCTCTCTCTCTCTCTGTGATGTGTGCCGTGTGCTGTGTGTTGTGTGTGTGTCAGTGGCGAGTGGGGTGCGGATTCGGTGCGCAAGTTGATGTCGGCGTGCGACAGCTTCATCCCCGAGCCGGCGAGGAAGGTGGACCTGCCCCTGCTCATGGCCGTCGAAGACTCACTCGCAATCACGGTCAGTGACTCCCACAGGCAGACAGACAGGGAGGGAGGGGGGGAGGGGGGATCGAGGAAGAACGAGTGTGCCTTCCAACCAACGAAGGCAATGCCGATACGATATCAGTCAGCTGACGAGGCACAAACATCTCTCCACCAACGCTGAGAGCCCTCCATCCATTACACACCTTCACTCACACCACACACCACCCAAGCGCCTGTTCCATCTGATCTGCACTGTTCTCCTCTCCTCTCGGCTTGGCTTGTTGTGTGTTGTATGTGTTGTGCAGGGTAAGGGCACGGTCGTCACGGGCCGCATCGAGCAGGGCAGGGTCAAGGTGGGCGACACCATCGAGATCGTCGGATACAGAGAGAAACCAATCAAGACCACCGCGGCTGCGGTAGGGACGCCAGACACGACAGACAGCTGGCCGAAGGGAGAGGGAGAGAGAGAGGGCATTTACGTGTTTGGCCACGGTGTGTGTGTGTGTGTGTGTTTGTGTGTGCAGGTGGAGATGTTTCGCAAGACACTGAATGAGGGTCAGGCCGGCGACCAAGTGGGCGTCATGATCAAGGGAGTCAAGAGACGTAGGAACCCCCCCCACACACACATACAGATTGATTCTTTTGCTGATGGATGTCCTGTCTGTCCCCCTGTCTGTCTGTGTGTCATTGATATGTCAGAGGATCTGGGAAGGGGTATGGTGTTGGCGGCACCAGGCACCGTCAAGGCCTTCAACGCTTTCCAGGTGCACATCAACCACATACACACATACGCGACAGGCGGGACACACCGACAGACATTTTCTGTGTCCATGAATGATGTGATCAACGGCTGAGCGGATATTTGTCTGTGTGGTGTGTTGTGTAGGCTGACCTGTATGTGTTGAAGGAGGAGGAGGGCGGCCGCAAGAAGCCCTTCATGAGCCACTACAGGCCGCAGGCCTTCATCCGCACGGGAGACGCACCTTGCGAGCTCATACTACCGGAGGACGTGCAAATGGTCGGTTGGTCAGCTCAGCTGGCACTCACCAGCTACCCTACGGGGATGCAAGCGCAGACAGACAGAAACTCCTGTATGTTTGTGTGGATGTGTCGTCATGTCATGCAGGCGATGCCTGGCGACAACGTCAAGGTGACGGTGAACCTCGGCAAGATGGTGCCGCTCGAAACGGGGCTCAGATTCGCAATCAGAGAAGGGTATGGTACACACAACACAAGGGAGGAGTGCAGCACTCACTCATTATACACACACGTCTGTCTCTCCCGTATGCATGCATTCGTTGATTGATTGTGGTTCCTTGTCACTCACTCAGCGGTCGGACGATTGGGTCGGGCATTGTGACCAAGGCCATGATGCAGCAGGCGGCCCAATCATGACATGACACCCCCGCAGGACATAAAGACGTGGCATCCGCCACCAGCCAGCCGCTACATTACATGTGTGTGGAGGTCTGTCTGTCTGTCTGTATCTGCCTGCTGTGAGTGAGGTCAGCTCTCAGAGAGGCCTCTGAGCATTGCATTCGGTCGGTTGGTCTGTGGGTCGGTCATTTGTCACTCACACACACATACACACATACCATCCGAGGGAGGGAGACTCGCTTAGATTTCCTGACTGAAAGAATGAAATGAAGCGGCTTGTGGTTATGCGCTCGAGCGAACTTTTTTGTCAAATCTGTCACATATCAGGAATGCATTCGTGGTATGAGGGTCTCCACCGCCACCTGCACGTCGGCATACCGACCGCATCGCGCATACACACACGTACACACACGCACCGAACGAACCAAAGCATAGCAGCATAGCATACCACTTCACTTCGTTGCGTGCAGCCTGCATGGATCGCATGCACTGTACTGCACCCCACACACACACACCACGTCATGTCTGCACGCACAGCTTGCCGAGTGAGTGAGTGACCGATTGCCACAGAACCACCTCACCTGCCTACATAAATCGTGGACAATTGACGAGAAAATACGTCACGGGCACACACACACACACACAAATCCTTTCGTCGCATCACGTCGCATCACATCACACCAACAGCAGCAGGGCCTTCACCAGTGCCGCAGCCACCAGCACAGCCGCATACCGCATCCTCCGGCCGGCCCTCTCGGCGCGTTTCCATACCTCAGTGTAAGACAACCCTCTCTCGCCGATCATCAAGAAAACTGGCGGCGAGAAGAGGAAGGGCAGCAGGCGGCTGAGGGCCAGCCGGAGCACGAAGTCGGTGCGCCACCGGATTCGCTGCAGCAGTGGTGTGGAGCTGCCGCCCATCTTGAACCGCCAAGCGAGATGCGCAATGGCGTGTGCGTCCGGGGCTCGTTGGCGCGAGAAGAGAGGCAGAGCCTCTGCAAGGCAGTTGTTGGTCTCTCTGAGACAGCGATCCAACACGACCACATCCTGCAGCAGTACAGACACCACACGAACAGAATGACAGCCTCCCAGTCCTCCCCTCTCTGCCCTCCCCGCGCCCCGCACCTCGAGAGCGGCATTGGCCCCCTGCCCCAGGTCAGGCGGGAAGGAGTGTGCAGCGTCGCCCACAAACGCCACTCGCTGACGCACATGCAGCCGATTCAAGTGCCGCGGCGGCTGGAAGTGACCCACCCGCTTCTTCACATAGCGCTCGGCTTCACTCCTGCTGATGGCCTGGCGGACGTTGCGCCACTGAGGGAAATACCGCTGCAGCACCGTGTAGAACTTCTCAGCTGAGGTGCAGTGCAGGATGGGATGGTCCTTGTGGGCGATAATCATGCCCACTCGGGAGTACTTGGCCACCGTCTGGAAGATGTAGAGCAGCAGCCGGTCCGTCGGTCCTCTGCACATTGTCGGGTCTTGCCGGATCAGCACCGACCCGCTGGGGACTATGTGCAGTGTGGCGCTTTTCTCCTCTGCCCGCCGTCGGCCGAGCACGCCCCTTCTCCTTGTTGTTGTCACGTCGACATCGAATGCCGGCGGGAATGCGATGACCTTGTATCGCCTGTCGAGACCCCCGGCAAACCGTCCTTCGCTAGCAAGTTGGTGCTGCTGGAAGGAGGGGTCGACCTGTTGGCACACACACGCGGCAACGCATGATAGCATGATAGAACCGACCGTGGTGTTTGCAAATGTGCCCACCCAGCACCCACACATACCTCGGCGACATGGGCAGCGATCCGTGAGTTGGCTCCGTCTGCCGCGATGATGAGCTGCGCATCACCAATCGCCCGCGGCGCCGTCTCTGAGTCGAGCTGGTAGCGAACTGTGGCGGTTTTGGATGGGTGGTCAAGGTTGGCCACATTGCAACCCACCACCTTTGCACCGAAGGTCATCTTGATTCGAGGGAAACGCGCCATCAGGTCTCGGTACATGAGTCGAGTAAGCGTCTGCCGCGTCAGCAGCCGGTTTGGCGGCGAGCGAGACCTCCTTCGTCCTCCGGCAGACATGTTCACCACAACCTCAAGGCCGTCTGGCCGGATGATGGTCGCGTTGCTGGGAGTGACGGCAGCTTCTCTCTCCAGGCAATCGAGGTCGAAGCCGAGGTCTTGTAATGCAGCCTGTCCTCGATGAGAGACACCCATGGCATAGCTTCTGTCTGTCGCTCGCAGATACTCATCTTTCGTCATCTTCTCCAGCAAGTGGATGTTGGCGAAGCCTCGCCGGGCGAGCATGGCTGCCGAGGCGAGGGCGGCCGGCCCGCCGCCGGCAATGACCACAGGGCGATTGGCATCGGATGGTTTCCCAGCGGCAATGAATGCAGGCAATGCAACCGCAGACAGAAGGAGCCGCAGCTGCATCTCGAGAGACGCCTCTTTCCCACAGAGCGGTTTCGCCTCCCAGATCTGCGAGCGTAAAGGTTGGCGAGCTTAGCGTGAGAGGAGATCTCGGTCAGAGAGAAGCAGATCAGCTCCAGGACCATGTATTTCCCAAGCCTAAGTGGCGGCAAGCCGCCGTCTGGCGGCGGAGCTCCCCCAGTGGCCGCTCCTGCCGGCGGGATGCCGGCTGGAAAGGGGGACAAGGAAGGGGATAATATCACTGGCCGATGTGAGCTGACGGCCCTTGCATGCCATGCACCACACGCACTGCCACCATGGAGATCTATCACAGCCAGCTTGCACTACGCTCACACGTGTCTGTCTATCTGTCTGTGTCTGTCTGTCTATGTGTCTGTGTCTTTGTCCGTGTGGTTGGCTGATGCAGTTGACCCCACGGCGCTTGAGCGCGGCGCCAAGGCTCTGAAGGAGCTGGACAGTTCGCCCAATGCCGGCAAGGCGTTCGAGGTCACCAAGATGCAGGAAGCCACCAAGCAGAAGGAACTGCAGAAACAGATGGAAGAGGTATGTCTGTCATGTCACCCATCACAATGCGTCGACATCGGTTCCCGTGTTGGTTGTGTTGGTTGTGTCGGTTGTTGTCCATTCCATTTCTTGACTGGTTCATTCATCAGTTGGCGACGGCCCGTGCACAGGCGGTCAAGGAGCGGACACACATGGAGGCGGAGGAGAAGAGGAAGACTGTCGACCACCAACACGACAGGGAACGGGAAACCGCCAGATACAAGGCACAGCTTGAGGCGTAAGCAACGCAGGAAGGAAGCGAGCACACAGCACACAGCACAGACCACATATCCCTCCCACTCGGCCATCCATCCATCATGTCTTGTCTTGCCCTTCATTCATTCAATCACTGAATGATGTTTTGATGTAGTGAGGCGTATTCCAAGAAGCTGCAGGACCAGAAGAAGCAGAACGAGGAGTGGCTGCAGCAGCAGCACCAGCAGTTCCTCAGGCAAGAGGAACTCAGAAAGAAAAATGGTACGTACGTACGAATCGACTGACTCGCACTCAACACCGGTAGTGACACAAGACAGACCCACGACCACTCAGACGTGCGTGTGTGTGTGTGTGTGTGTGTTGCGCGTGCAGAGTTGGAGCTGGAGGAGGCGCGGCGGCGGCGTCAGGCGGAGCAGGCCAGGCTGGACAGGGAAACCGAGCTCCAGAAAATCAGGGTAAGTGCGTCGAGTAGATGGATGATCCACACATCTATCTGGTCTTCTGTCTGCACAATCTGCCTGCCGCCGTCTCGTCTGAGTGTGTGGCTGGTTGCAGGAGGAGGCAGCCGCCCGTGTGAAACAGGAGCGTGAGAATGCCGATGTGCATTTGAGGAGTCTGCGGGCCAGGTTTGCCGAGGAGCGCAAGACCAAGATGGAGCAGCTACAAATCATTTTCGGATCCATCGGCGGAGGTGGGTGCCCCGATGGATGGATGGATGGATGGATGGGACACCCGTGTGTGTGTGTGTGTGTATGTGTCTCTCTGTGTGTTACTCAGCGTTCAACAGCCTCATCGAGGACAAGACGCGGCTCGCCACTGTGGTCGGAGGAATCACCGCTGCTGCACTAGGTAGGTATGGGATCGATGGATGCATCGATCAACACACAAATCCCCACCCCGCGTGCCCCAACCAAAGCGTGTGTGTGGTGGGCACTCAGGCATCTACGGTGCGCGTGTGGGCACTCAAATCGCCGGCAGATACATTGTAAGTAACCACATACCTACCCACAGGCATACCCAACACCAACTGCCCCACCCATCGCTGTCTGTCTGTCTGTCTGTCTGCAACCCGTGTGTGTGCAGGAGTCCCGCCTTGGCAAGCCGCCTCTCGTCCGCGAGACATCCAGATGGAGCTTCAATGTATACACACACGCACACACACACTCACACACTCACACGCACAGTCCTGGTGTGGTGGCTCTCGTGTGTGTGTATACAGCGTGCGTGGAGGAGTTATCTGCTGGGTTGGCTGTGGCGGCGGCCGAGCTTCCAGGAGAAAATCGTGCTGCCCGCAGAACTATCAGAGAGGTCAGTCCGTGCACTGAACAGACAGAGAGAAAGGACAGCTGGGTGACACCCAGCCACGTGTGTTGTGTGTATGGTATGCAGGCTGGAGTGGACGTCTAACTCTCTGGTCAACGCCAAGAGGAACGGCACGCCGTTCAGACACCTTCTCCTCTACGGCCCCCCGGGGACCGGCAAAACCCTTTTCGCACGGACGTACGCGCAATGCAATCAGAGAGGCAGGGGGGGCAATAAACCTGCTGACCATGTATGTCATGTGTGTGTGTCGTGTGGTGTGCAGTATCTCGCGCAATTCTGGTCTCGACTATGCCATCATGACGGGCGGAGACATCGGGCCGCTCGGTGAGAAAGAGGCTGGCTGGGAGGAGGCAGGGAGGGAGGTGACAACGCGTCTGTCTGTGGTGGTGCGTGGTCAGGCAAGGACGCGGTCAACGAGATCAACAAGCTCTTCAGATGGGCCAACAGCTCCAGAAAAGGCAGGCCAGGCGATTATTGCAAACTCCATTCACCACAGGCGGCCAGCGAGTCAGTCAGCTTATACATCTATCTGTATGTGTGCGCCTCTCTCAGGGCTGATCTTGTTCATCGACGAGGCTGACGCCTTCCTGCGGCGCGGCAGAATGGGCGAGGGCACCATGTCGGAGGAACTCAGAAACTGCCTCTCGGTCAGTGCGCCTCCTCTGTGTCTCTGCGCCCATCTCTGCGTCGACGTGTGTGGTGCATGTGTGTGGTAGGCCTTTCTGCATCACACTGGCACTGAGACGACCAACTTCTGTGTGGTGCTGGCGACCAACGTGCGTGAGGTCATGGACAGAGCCGTGCTCGACCGTGTCGACGAACAATTCGAGTTCCCCCTGCCCGGTGAGCGCACCGCACTGCACTAGCTAGCGAGAGAGAGGGAAGCCGGCCCGGCCCATCGGTCTGTCTATTGACAAATGTGGCCTGTGGGTCAATGTGTGTGCGTGAGTCAGATTTGGAGGGTCGGCGTAAGATGGTCAAGATGTTTGTCGACGAGTACATCTACACTCCCACTAAGAGAGGTACAATGCCAGACGGACACGCACAAGGATCCCTGTACCTGTTGTCGTGTCCTCATTCAACCAATCATTTCCCCAGGCCGGAAGATCGTTGTCGATGCGGCGCTGGACGACGAGTACTGGGACATGGTGGCCAAGCGCACCGAGGGATTCTCGGGACGACAAATAGCCAAGGTGACCGGCTTCTTGCATGTTCATGTGGTGCACACACCTCTCTCTCTGTCTGTCTGTCTGTCTGTGCATGATCTGGTCAGCTGGCGATCGGGATGCAGGCGGCGGTGTTCGGCTCTGGCACCAACACCCTCACCAAGGGCCTCGCAGACACCGTCCTGAACTGGAAGGTATGGATGGATGGATGCAGTGCCGTCACATCCATGCACACACCAGCCACGTGCTGATCGAATGTCTGATATATGTATGTATGCATGTGTGTACAGCTGGCTCATTTCGACGAGGATGTCGACACGCTGGAGCGCCGGAAGGCGCAGCACGTCAAGGAGACGGTCGTCGGGGAGGATACACCACACGCGCACGCCCAGCCTGCCGCAGCGTAGCTTTCTGACCATGTGGCCGACCAGTAGACGACGGCAGCTGCCAATAGCTGACCGACCAAGGCTACTACGTTAGTCACGTTTCGTAGGCACCTACCTACATGGTGTCGTTGTGCTGCTGTGCTGTCTTGTTTGTACAGCTCTCTCTCCTCTCGGTTTTTTCACATACATGGCTGGGTGGATCCACTTTGCGTAGGCGTGCCAAGCTGAGATGATGCATTGGCAGGGGGAATGCACTGAAAGTGACCTCCGCTGCTATCTGCTGCATGTCAGTGGGGTGTGACGCGTGTGTGGTGTTGAGTGTTTAAGGGGGGGATTGGGGGAGGGGGGCGGTGCCTTTTAATTGCGTGTGCGTGAATGTGTGTGTAGCGAAATCGCGACAGCGATAGCTCTGCGAGACATCTGTAGACAGACTGACAAGACAATGACCATGTGAGTACATACGACGTGACTGCATGTATCGATGTGTGTGTGTGTGTGTCGATTTTGGCTGGCCCCAGCGAGCCACATCCTAATGATTCGATACGTATCTCTGGCAGACTCTCTGCTGCGCACAAGAACACCAACAGAGACAGAGGTGGGCTCAAGTCACTGCCTTGCTGAGAAAAGCGCGGCACCCCGACAAACCTCCGAAAGAAAGCAGCCCTCAAACCGATAAGAGAGAACAGGAGAGACAGACATGCAGGTGGCCTCTGTCTCCCGACTCCCCTCATCTCCCCCCGCTCTCTGTGTCGTGCCTGTCCACGGCCCCCGGCAGCGGCACTGACGCGCCCACCTCCCCACCCCCTCCCCCCCCACCAGCAGTATCGAGCCTAAAATCACGTATGGCCATCTCTATTGAGTCCTGACCAGGGCCGTCAGGCGCGTCACGGCTCACCTTTTCACCCTGCTCAGCCTCTTTGTTCTGACTGTCGGGCGGGCCGGGATCACTTGCCGATGGCGCGGCTGCTGGCGGTGCTGGTGCTGGTGTGGGGGCTGGGTGTGTCTGATGTACCACCACGATCGCCTGGCCACCTGGTGGGAGGTTCAGCGCCTTGCCGAGCTCTTGCAGCTGGTATGTGACGTCAGGCTGTTGCTGCTGTTGGTCTGTCGGGGCTGATGTGTCTGCTGGCTGCGGCTGGGATGCTGGTTGTGCTTGCGCAGGGGCAGCAGCATTGGCGTTCGTCTGGGTGTTGTCGCCCGTCTCGAGGCTGACGTCACATAGCTTGAAGGCATTCTCGCGCAGCTTGAGCTGGCGAGAACCAACCAGAGAAAAAGACACTGATGAGACACGCGAATCGACTGTGTGTTTGTGATGTCGGGCTGACCACTCTCTTCGAGTGGGCCTCCTCCTGTTTCTTCCACTTGTGTTCATATCTGTCGTCAGCCTCCATCGGGGAGATGTTGCCAAAAGGCTTAAAGATCAGCTGCCAGGAGAATAGGACTGCGATCGCGATGGCCCATATCCCCATCCAGGCTCCCAGGTCGCTGAGGAATGATGGAATATCGTAGTTCTGCTTTTCGATCAGCCGGCGATTGGAGTTGATGTGCACGGCTATACGCACTTGGTTCTGGAACGTGACAGGCACAAAGGGGCGGGTGGACACCTGTCTCCGACTGTCTCTCCTTGTACCTGGTATCTATTTGCGTAGTCGAGTGGGACGGTTGTGCCCGTGACGTCGCTCACAGAGACAGTCCACGACTTGAGTCGAGAGCGGCCCAGGACATTCTGATGTGACGTCAGCCACACAGACAGACAGACAACGGCCATTCCGCCTCCCACATTGCTGGCTATAAGTGTGTGTCTCTGCGTGTCTACCTTTTCATAGATGGGGTAAAGGTCCAGGTAGATGACGATGAAATATTGAGTGCCAGGGACCAGGGGGATGCTCCGGTCCTCGGCAGAGGATATGCTGCTGATCGCATGACGGATGTCCATCGAAAACTTGTCGATGCTCTCAATTAGCTCCTTATAATGCCTGCTGTCCGACCTCGGCCAATGCCTGTGCAATACCAGAAATAACAGGTGAGAATAGCTGGTGGGAACAGGTGTCGCTTCCGTACTTTGGCCTGAACTTGTCAACGAGCTCTTTGGTTCTCTTCTTGTTGATGCGGAGCATGAGATCGAGTGTGGCTGTAGGAGGATTGGCGGGCGGCGGTATGGTGTAGTTCTGGTACGTGTCAGTGCCCACCCGCTGGCCACACACCTTCAACGCCTCCTCTCTCTCCAAGGCCGTCCCCTGCACACACGCACGCACACGCACGGACGGATGGATTCATTCGTGTGTATCACGTCAGTGACCTGGTTGGTGTCGCAGAATAGGAAGCCCTTGATAAATGGCTCCCCGATCCACACCACACGAGAGCCCTGGTAGATGTCGCCGCCGGGACGGGCGCTGGCCTTAAAGGACCTCTCGGCCTCGAGCACTGACTGGTCGAAGGTGAAGAAGTAATCCGTGTGAAAATCCAGCTGCACACACAGAGAGGCAAGCAGACAGACAGACAGACAAACAGCAACATGTCTCGGGGCTTCAGCGGGCCAGAAGCGAGACCTCACTTCATATTCAGGTTTGTGTTGGATGGACTCGGTGCGCGATGAGGGGAAGACCCACTTGTGGTTGAGGGGGATACCTGCCTCGTATTGGAACACACGCGTCGGGTAGATGACCTTGTTGCACGTCAGGCGATAGTGGCCGGTGGGAAGATTGTCGAACTCGGCGCAGTTGCATTCGTCGAACATGGCGCTCTTGCAGCTGGACTCGCGCACATACCACTGGAATCCGTCCAGGATCTTCCACTTGCCCCAAAACTGCTGAGGCGTCCCCTGCATAGCAATACACAACCTTCTGTCCCGTTCTGCACACCGTCACCCATCCTTCCCAGTTCCTACTTCGCCAGCCAGATAGCCATAGGCATTGACGTCTCTGTCGTATTCGTTGTCCTGGCGGAACGGCGTGTTGCGGTCTTTGGAACAGCCTGTCGAAATAATCGTCGTGTTGGCTGCTGCATCGCTGTCGGCGGGAGACACCGCCATATGTGGACAGAGGAGCTTCACCGATGGCTCCTTCCTCTTGGGCGTCAGAAAGGTGGCCAGCTGACAATGAGATATGGATGGTCAACATCACAGGGCGTCTGCGGTATGTGTCTCACACCTGCAAATCGAGCACGGCTGGGCTCTCCGTTGCCTCGTAGTAGTTGGGGAGATAGCGATGTTCCGGGAGGTACTCATCCTCCTCACTGCGGATGAGCGACACCTCGGACAATGTGAAAATCTCATCCTGAAGACACACAAGAGGATCACTCACGCAACCTCTCCCCTTGACGGATGAGCCAGCCTACCGACACGACAGTGACATCTGGGATTTTGTCTGCCTCCGACTGCATGAGCGACTCAGTGATAGACTCGAAATCTATCATTTCAGACCCAGAAGACGGCGGGCCGGGAGCTGATGTGCCGAACCAGGGGTCAGCGTCCTTGAGGTATGTCGTGGTTGTGAACGCATAGAGATACGGTCGCCGGGCATCCATCATCGCCTTGATGCCGGTAGGCGTCTTGTAGTCGGCCGCACTGCCAGGTCCGCTGTAAGGAAGGTAGGTGAATGTGACCTGCACAGATCCCTCGACGAGGGCGTCGATGGAGATGCGGGAGAGGGAAATGTTGGCCACGGCTGCGATGTCTTTCTTGAGGGCAGTGGTGAAGGTGTCGTAGTTGGCCAACACGTCAAAGTACTCGATGCCCTCAAAATGGAGGCTGCATGCACGCCATACCACAGACATACGATGACATGTCTGTATGTGTGTTGCGTACCGATCCGACACGGGCGTTGATGGATTCTGGGTCGCCCGCTCATCCACTGCACATATCCTATGCAATCACATCCGCCCGGATGTGGATCGATCGGCGTGTTGCAATTATGCAGCTCACCTATCCAGTGTCGGAATTTGGTTGAGGTCGCAGAAGAGGGCACATTTGGTTGTGCGAGGGTTGAACACCTGTCTCTCGTCGCTGCAAGGGTTGTCGATCCCGCCAGCCACGTCGCACCTCCCACCACCCAGACACTCGTCAGGGATGCCCAGCGCCTCACAGAGGTCCGGGTCTTGGCTGCAGGGATCGTCGCCTTCCTCGATGTCATGCGGCTGCGCCCGCTCCCAACATGTCTCAAACTGGCTCCCGCACTGCTGCAGCAGCCCGCCTTCCTCAAGCATCGAACGGCACTGGTCCTTGGTCATGTCCGCCCCAACACACTCGTCAACTTCGGTCTGACAGAGCCTCGAACAGTCGCTGGTGGTGTCCTGAGGCGCTCCGGTTGGTGGCTGGGCAAAGGCGTAAAGCTCCTTGTCATCTGTTTGTGGCTCATTCGGTGCGTGGCGCGGTGACTTGGTCGGATCGGCTGGGGGCTGAATGTGCTCCTGCTCATCAATGGGTGCCTCGGTAGGGTTGATGTGGTCGCCTTCTCGTGGTGCTGGTGGCTGCTGCAGCCTTCGCCAGAGATGCTGTCTCCCGAAAGGCTCACTCGCACTGGAGACGGCAGTGTACATCATCTCATAGTCGACAGGTGCCGCCATGGTGGAAAGCCGCCTGTGGGCCTGGCACACATACGATCCATGCGAGATCGCGTAGGCTCCTGTGTCCCTCCCTTTTTGCGTCACTTGGTGTGCGGATTCCGATGGTGTGTCGGTGACGGACGAGGGGTACAGCAGCCGCCGGGTGGCCATGCCAGACTGGTCTCTGGTCTCATCCAGGTAGCCCGTGTCGTACGCCTCTTGGGGGAGACACACGCAGAGAAGACACAGTGTCGCAAGCAGGTAGACGCCGTAAGACGCCGTACGTTTACGTACTCTCAAACTCGTCAGTGGTCATATGTGTGTTGATGGCGATGGTCTCCACTCGTGTGCCCGCTTCGCGGTCCTGCCGGACAGGCTCGTGGATCTCGATTACCTCCCACAATTTCTGCACACGCACACAATCCTTCCGCTGGTGTCTCCTTCCGTCCTCCTATCTGTATCGTACTCGGTGATAGTACGTGAGCGTGCCGTCAGGATTGGTGAAGTATGACCCAATCGGCCCCAGACCGACGTCAGGCACGTGCATGTCCATCTGCTGATCGGTGGGCTCGCCCGTGACAGCCTGGCAGTACCGAAACGCGACTGAGTGATTGGCTCGAAGCTCGGCGCACGTGACGGGTCCCAGCGTGCCGGTCATAATGATCCTGTCTGGGTCGTCACACTGGATGCGGGCCCACTGGGATATCTCCTCCTTGTCGACGAACATCCTGCAGGACAATGAGCATTAGAGAGGACGCCAGTTCGTATGGAATAGCTTGTGTGTGCTTTGGCCTGCGGGCTCACTCACGACAAGCGCTGCGCAAATGCCTGTGGCCTTCCCTCCGGTCCACCACAGTCAGGGTCAAAGCGACCGCACCCGCAATGACACAGATCGTCCCTGAAACGGACACGAATATGAAAGAAGAGAGCCTTGCTCGCCCGTGCACTTACAGGAAGAGCGACGGGTCGCATTTCCACTCCGGTGTGAGGTAGATGAGGCTCCCGCCATTCATCATCGGCCACTGCCACTGGTACACTCTGCAAACAGGGAGAATGCATCGGAGCTCATATTTATGTATGGATGGCCTTGCTCACTTTTCGATTTGACGCAGCTCCATCCCCCTGGTGCCGATTCCACCCGAGTAGCGAATCAGCAGAAAAGTACCATTCACTGCATGCAATGCAATGCAGACAGACCAGCCGGTCAGCCGTCTCCCTCTCCTAGCTGCCTACTTACTGTCCATGTTGCCCATCCCAACCGCATCAATCACCTACATGGAGCCATCCAGACACACAGGCTCAGCACTACTGAAACATATCATCTCCTGACAGCCAGCTTACGATCCACCCGTCGTGCAGACCGTCACAGCCTTCCTGCGCCCCCGGCGGCCCAGGCGGTGTCGGTGTCGTTGTCCTTTCATAGTCGGGGAGACACTCGTCCTCTGGCTGGGAGTCCACCCACCCGCCGGCGAAGTCCAGGAAAGTGACACCGGTCGGGATGACGTTAGCCACAGCCTTGCGGACAGTGATGCCCGTGTAGCCGGCTCGCAGGGGTGGTTTCACGTTGATGTTGAGGGCTTGCAGCGATTTACCGTCACCTGTAGACGCCATCAGAAGCAGGCAAGCGGTCTCTGCTCCCTATGTTGAGCATGGAGCTTTGTACCTGTTGATGCGGACAGGATGTCGAATTCCGTGGAGTCCACCTGGACACTAAACGGGCTGCAGACAGAAGCGATGAGGACATTGGTATGTTGCGTGCAATAATCCTGTCTTGTGTGTTCACTCACCCTGTCTCAGGGAAAGGCGTGTTCTCTTCAAGCCACACAATGATGTCTGTTGTCAGAACAAGACATCTGTGTGTGTCTCATGTGCTTGTATCCGCTCACCCTGAAAATCGTCAGAAAACGCCGACACTACATGCCCAGCAGCAAAGTGATTCTGACTGACACAAAACAAGCAACCAAAAACAAGAATGATTGTGCGTAGTCAGTACAGAAGTCGCTGCGTTCGCTCCCGCCCACTCACCGAAACGAGCTGCCGGTGATGGCCTGTATGGTCAGGTTCTGATAGTTTGATGCATCGGGCTCTGACGCATGAACCACGTGCACAAACTCCTCATTGCCCTGGTCGGGGTCGAGGGCCACCAGATATGGCACTTTAGTGGGAAATGCCGCCTTTGCACCCAAACGCACCTGCCCACATCCATAGCAATACAGCGATCGTTTTTGCACATCAGGGGACTGTCTGTCTGTCTGTCTGTGTTTGTGCGACCTGTATGAGAGATTTCTCTCCCTCGGTGGCGGTGAGGTTGGAGTTGAGGTCCTCGATTATATCGCTGAATTGGTAGAGCACCGGCCGGCCGTCAGCGTCACCCGTGGCCCTGCAAAAAGACAGACATGGCGGGTGCGTAGCTCGCCCAGCTCATGCATGTACTTGTATCTGCAGATGTATTGGCCGTCAGTGTTTCTTGACGCCGCCCCTTCATATTGGCTGTCATGTGGACAGCTACACACAAGCAGCTAGACACAACAGATGACTCGAGGAGTGCGGTGGGTGCGCGAATTATGTGCATGCTGGCGCACCTTGTGCACTCATCAAGTGTGGCATTCTCCGAGAAGAAGCCGACGAGTGTCGTCTCTCCTGGCAGCATGAGATGCGTGCCTGACAGGCAGGGACAGTTGAATGAATGAGACATGTGAGCGCGTGGGCACATACGTACATGTCTCTGAGACAGCAACGGACCCTTCCCTGTTGGGACATCAGACACAGATCAGCAGAATGTTCGGGCGTGCATCCCTCCATGCATCTCACTCACGTGTAAACGAATCGCGTGCATCGACCAAGTGGCGAGCACTGCTCCCCTGACGCGCAATTCTTGACGTCTTGCTGACCCACACACGGAGACAACCTTCAACCTCACTAGCCACCTTTCTGTACCCCCCTCCCCCCCACTAGTTTCCGTACCTGTCGCGAAAAACAGTCTGCACGAGACACAAGAGACACACAGGCCAGAGAATAAATGACGAGCGTGCCTCTTCACTCTTGCACTGCTTCATCGTACCAGGGTCAGCGGCACCACAATTGCAATCGCAGGCCTTCCTGTCGTTGTACTTGTTGGGGTGGCACTGCCATGTGCTCGGTGGAAAAGGAGGAATATTCAGAGGACGAGCCACTGCAAAATTCAAAGCACCCCAATCTCGCTGCACCGTCCATGTCATCCGGTCGCTCGACACATTCGTCACCAGCATCTTCTCATATCCCACATCGCCTGTCACAAGCACGAAAAACTGACAAACACACCGGCCTGCATGAGATTGTCATGTCGCCCCCATGCTGTGTGTCCCTTGCTTGACTTACCGGCGTCTTATGCCTTGGTATGCGTGCCTTAGTGAGTTGCAGCTCAGTGTCGGTCTGGTTGGGAGGGCTCGCAAACGCGAATGCGTAGTTGGGCGACCGGCCGTCGCACAGAGTTGATTGCACCGTGTAGTTGAAGTTGTTGACATAGCCCACAAAGAACAGCCAGTCCAACCAGCTTTCATCGTCCAGACCGAGAGACGATATCTGGCTCTGGAAAAGACAGACACACGTCGGCTGACGCATTACGTGGTTGTGGAGTCTTGTTTGTCTCATACCGGGACATTGACACGATCGGGGCCGAGTGCAGTGCTGTTGGCAAACGTCTCCTTGTCAACCTGCGAGAAAGATACGAATAAGCCCATTGGTGAACGGACAAAGATCACACACCGACCTTGGTCAGCGAAGACGAAATGAGCACTAGATTGTCCTGGTTAGTTGTCTTCCACTGATGTGTGCTCGAGTCCCAGTTGCTGGGCGCCCATGAGACATTCGACGTCGCAAAGCTCGAGAGATACTCCTACAAACAAGCCAATTCAAGAGGAAAAAGAGATGGAAGCAATCAGCCCTCTCCCTACCTCATTGAAGTATTCTCGATTGCCCTTCAGGGCTTCTTCCAGCACCTGCACCGACAAACAATGGTGTCGATTCGCCTCACTCATTGCAGGTATTCTTCTGACCCTGAACTGAATGGCATTAGCGACGCTGAGCTGCACTTGGCAGCTCTTGGCCATTCGCAACTGCTTGGAGTCGAAGCGCACGAATGTGTAAAGGTCGTGATCGAAGTAGGTCTTGGTGTTGTCCGTCAAAATGTTCTGATATGAGAATGTATGCAGAATCGCAACACGAGACATGCCGCTTGTCCGTACTTGCATACGTTTCTCGCGTAGAAGAATTTCAGCGACTCCTGAAAGGAGTGCGCTATCCCCGCCCCCTGCATGTCAGACAACGACCTGACATCCACACACATACACCATCTCCAGAGACTTTCCACCGAGGCCAGCCCCCATTGATCGATCACCTTGGCTCGAACTCCTGTTCGGGGGGAATGAGGCCGCTGGATGGATGATAAGTGTTGAGCGGCACCGCCACGCTGTCTGTCACTCCGATCGCATGCTCGATGCCCTCCGTGCTGCTCACGAGGTCCGGAAACAGCCTGGTACGATCCACCATCCGTATTTTCTGCAAAGTCGTCAGCCCGTCGGCTTCGTAAAACTCGATGGTTGACCGAATGGTGAGGTTAAGCGCGGGGAAGTCCATCCAGCCGCCGCTTCCGAAACCTAGCTCGTACGTCATCCTGTCCCAAAGATTGAGGGAGCTCAGGTCGATCTCGCAGCTGTCTGTGTGGCCGTTGGTGTTGACGCAGTCGAGGTTCAATACAATCGGCTCGTCAGCACTTGTAACACGATCACCCCCAATCAGCTTGACCATCCTGGGTGCTCAAGTAGATGAAATAATGATAAATGGATTCCAGTAAAAAAGGCAGAAAGGGTGCATCTGTCCGTCGTCTCACGCGTTGATGAAGAGGATTAATAACAAAAGAAGCGCCGCGATAGACACGATTGATCCCATGCCCTGCAAGTAAAGGTGTGCATGATTCCGGGGCTCGGGGAGAGCGTGTCATCATCGTGCCTTGCACTCACTGTCTGAGGCAGGGCCGATGGTGAGGTGAAGATGTTCCGGTCGCCCATTCTGAGAACACGTGTACACGTGAGCCTTCATCACAACACCACTGCAATGCGGCTCACCTGTCGAAGATCCTGTAGATCAGCTTTGGCCTGTATTCTATTACGTCGGTCTTTCCCCGCAGATCGTCATACGGCTGCACCCAAAGAGAATAACACATACATACTATCAATGCATGGAAGAATGCATGGACCATACCTCGTAGTAACGCTTCCAACACGGGCAGCGGCACACAGGGGGATTGCGCTGACGAGATGCAGATGCAGGCACTGCAAACATGCCGCTGCGTGTTGCATACCCACATTGCCTACGTGATAGACCTTCAGCTTCTTCTTTGACGACGTCCGTTTGGCAGCAGAGGTTACGGCGTTCTGAACCGCCACGATGGCCCGTGGCGCCAGGGTAGTGGCCTTTGAGGCGCCATACGCTAGGCCTTCCATCGTCCTTGGAGCTTTCCCAAGTGCCGAGACTGGCCCCCACGCCCCCACCATCTGCGAGCTCATGCAAGCCCGAGAAAACCGAAGAAACCACCGAATTCAGATCCGCATCGCTCTCGTAGCACAGCAGCGTCGTTGCCGATGAATGCCATCGTTTCAGGTTACGACAGCGACGAAGACGAGACAACCGAGCCAGGCGCCGCTCCGAAGGCGAAAGCGAAGGCCAAGGCCGCTCCGCAAGCATCTCCCGCGGAGTCATCTGAGCAACCCAAGAAGAAGGTATGCACACATGCCGACGCGGAAACAAGAGGAGAACTGCTCCCTCATGCATGTGATGTGCTTGTCGTTCCTTGGTTCTTCAGATCCGTACACCCCTACCATCGGCCGCCAATCTCCTCTCATCAGTGCCGTCAAGGTTTCTGGAGGAGGGTGCTGCCGACAACGCTCCCATGGATGAGGACACCGAGGAGCGACTACCACCAGAATTCTTCAAGAAGGACTTCAGGGCCATGCCGCCACCCGCACCACACACACTGATGCCAGCCACCAGTGCGCCAAGGGCAAAGGCGAGGACGAGTGCGCCTGGTGAGAAGCGGAGCTATGGTGAGATGGCGGGCGGCTCTGGCAAAGAGGAGAAGAAGAAGCCCGGTGGCATGTTTGTGCCGCCGCAAGTGGCGTCTGGGAGGAAAAATGTCGTCACTGAGGACGTCAGGTGCGCATGTATGGGCGGTGGGTGGGTGGGGTGTGCGTCATTCGTGTGTGTGTGGTCTCGGTGATGTGTATGTGTGGCGTACAGGGAGCTGTTCGACAGGCAGCGGAAAAGCGAGGGCAGTGGTGGGTCTTCCAAAGCCAAGGATTGATAATCGATTGTGATCCGTGCACCGTTTTCTTCTCCCATAAGCCGACTTGTTGCTCGTCTGCACGTGGTCTTGTTGAGCGGACCGCGTGGGCTTTTGTCATTCATTCAGACCATTGTCTCGCGTTATATATGTGTGTATGTCATGAATCCAGCCAGTAGGCTATCTGTCCATGATAAGAGTCTATTGTGCAGTCAGTATCCACACCGTCACGCCCCACCAGAGGCGCGTCATCACATCACATCACCATACTATCGACTACCACCAACCAAATGTGACTCGCACATCAGCTCACACACTCACGGCAGGTCAATACTTGCCGACCGGCAGAGCACTTTTTGGCGTGATACTGTCCCGGTGCCGCACCACACCAGCAAAGTCAGTGATTTCCTGCAGCAAGTCAGGGCTGTCGCGAAGCTTGTCAATGCCAGACACCAATATCTGCATGACCACGGCCAACATAACATACAACAGCGTGTCCACAGGCACCCACACACACCGCCACCCACCTCCTCTGCCTGGTGCCTGGGTATCCGCGTAAGCTTTGCGACTTCGTCCAGCGACTTGACCACATAGTCGTCAAAACCATACATCAACCGAATCATGTCCCTTTCCACCTGAAAGACACACACACAGAGGCATCACATCCATCACTTCCAGGGCACATATGCTCGTCGCTGTGTGCGCTGTGTGTGTATCGCACCTGCGTGAGGTGTTTCCTGAGACGTTCGTTGACGGACTCCATGAAGTGCCGCGCACGCACCTCCACCCCCACATCACGATCATCGACATGAATACCGCCCTGAGTGACACACCACACGCACATCACATCCACCCATCCATCCATCCATCCATCCCCTCACTGGGTGAGCTCACCGCGGCTTCGAATCCATCGTATGGCCCCACTGGCTCAGCATACGCCCTCTCCAGCCGAGTATTGAGCTGATCGAAGGTCGTGTAGCGACCCTTAGCCACTTCCAACATGGGCTCCAACTCACTAACATACATACACACGTACCGTACACACAGACAAACACATCCAAACAGTGCTGCCTCCCATCTGCCCACGGCCTGGTTGCCTACTCGAGGGTGAGGTTGAGTCGTTTGCCCACGGCGAGGGCCCCCTCCTGCTTCAAGACGTCCTGGTACTCATAACTGCGCAGTTTCGGAACCAACCTCTCCTGACGCTTTGTCTGCATACCACACACACAGCTGCATGAAGGCCGCTCGCCGTTCCTCCTTCCCGCCTCCCACCCACCTACCCGAAACTGTATTGGCTGGGCCCCCTGGATGACATTGTATGCCTCCTGCTCCATCAGCCGCTGCGCATAGGTCGTGAACTTGGCTCCCCTTGTCGCATTGTACCTCACCAACGCCCGCCTCACACCCACAAAGGTAGCGTGCAGCAGCTCCTCATTCGGCAGCCACCGACGCACGCTGGGCGTCCCCCTGCCCATGTACTGCTGCACCACATAGCTCGCTGCGTGCTGGGAAGCCCACGTGAGCCACTCCTCGGCAGCCCGGCCGTCGCGGACCACTCTGACCAAGGCGAAAGGGGTCAGCTGCACCTTTTGTGCGAGAGAGTGAGCCGTCCATTCCCTCCCAGCGTCCTTGCTCTTGATAACGGCGGCCCGCACCCGATTGTACTCGGTCAGCCGCTCCCCCCACACCCTCTCCTCCTTGTCTGGCCTTCCCTGGGCGCGGTAGCGACTCAGCAACTCTCTCAGCCTCGTCTCCGCCACGTTTCCGCCATCAACTGACCTTAGCGGCCGTGATGCAGCTGCAATGGCCTCCGCAGGCCCGACGGGTGTCTTCGGCTGGTGCTTGGGCAGCCGGATTGACTGAGTTGAGCGCTGCTTGTGGCCCGGAAAGGTGCTCTTGAGGTTGTAGCTGTATGCCGGGGGGAGAGGGGATGCCAGGGCGGGGAGGACGGGCAACAAGAGGGGGAGGAGGAAGGGCACGTTGATGAGCCTCAAGAAGCTGACAGAACACCTTCCGATGGACAACGACAAGGCAAGAAGCCTCCGCTGGACACATGAATCCACGACTGAATTCACCATGACCATGATCTCGATGCGGCACGACGAAAGCTGACTCGGCGGGTGGATGAATGGCCGTAATAGCTGACAGTCATCATGTCCATCAGTCGTTTGCCCAAAAATGTGGTGGATTTAGGGATCTGATTTTCGAGAATCTCCTCGCGAGCTTGAAACCCTGCAAACCCTGGACCCCACAACCCTTACGTTTGTCGAGTCAGAAAGGAAGCGGTTTCCCCTCTGTTGATAGCATCAGCGTGTTGGTCCACTCAGCAGATACCTCGGACGCAGTTTGATTGGTATCACCGTAAGTCACCGTGATCTACGCGTGTGACCTGCATGTCGGATCACGGTGACTCCGACGCACCAGGTACGCTGACACGTGATGATGACTCACATGCATCATCCGTGGACACATACGCGGGGTCTCTCTGCTTGCATTTCGGCAGTTCACGATTGGAACTCTGACGACGAGCCTCCCAGTGATTCGGTCGGCGACACCGTTGCGTTGACGGCCGACCTCAAATGCCTCAAGAAACTCACCAAGACGGGCATGGTGAGTTTCGTGAGGTGCATGCAGGGAGATGCATCATGGTGCTGCTCTCTGTTCCTTCCCTTTCGGTTCCTTGCAGGGTTTGGAGCAGCCTGGATGGGGCGACGAGGTCCTCGGTTAGCAGGCCAAAGCCCAAATCAATGAACACAGCGGATGAGAGGACGTCCTTTGTTGTTCGCTTGTGCATGTGTGTGTGCAGTCCGTGTTCAGAGCACACGAGAGAGGCCCCCTGTCGGGGAGGGAGAAAACGCCGCCGACACGGCAGCGGTCAACGGCACGGACGAGACCATCCACCGCTGCCATCTGGCGCCCGATGGTGTGTCAGCGTCTTAACCAACGCAGCGCACGGTTGGATGCAATGTGTGTCTGTCTGTCTGCGTCAGGTGAGCTGCCGTATGCTGTTGCCCTTGGTGTCCGTCTGATGAAGCGAGGGGAGGTCGCCGAGATACGGTGCATTGACAGCTACACCATCTCGGGTGACCAGGTGCATTCGAGTGGCCTACACGGTGAGGTCTTCCGCACAAACCGCAACTCGCGCCGCCTGGTGACACATCGCAATCGGCTGGCGTCGGGGAGGCAGGCCGAGACCGTCCTCGACGAAGAGCTGCGGAACGGTACCGCTGTCACGAGATATCACGTGCAGCTCGTCAACATGGCGTCTGTGCTGGGTGAGCGGAGGGAGACGGGACAGTGGAAAAGGCTTGGTGTTTGTCGGTGCACGTGTGTGTGGCTGTTGTGGTGTCCATCAGTGTTGACGGAGGACCGCTGCGTGATCAAGAAGATCCTCCGGAAAGGTGAGGTCAATCTTCCCGTGTCAGTCAGTCACCGGTTGAAAGATGCATCCATACCTTGGTGCTTGCAGGGTCTGGCTGGGCCTCTCCTCGCTTCTGGGACACCGTCACATGTGAGCCGTTTTCTTCCACACACTCGGCAGGAGGCAATGGCGGGATATGTGTCTTTGTTGTGTCGTCAGTTCGCGTGGAGGACGGCTCGTCTCTCCTTGAGGATGGTCAGGTGTGGAGCCTCCCGTCACCGGCAGACGTGCAGGCCACGGGCATCACCAAACGACCCATCACGCGCATGGAACAGACAGACGACGACGAAGATGGTGACACCAATGACCAGGGCAACAACGACGCCATCACATGCCCGCTGTCTGAAGGTACAGACAGGCGCAAAGACAGACAGACCACACACACACACATGCGGGGCGAGTATTCAACTTCCTGACGAGCTCCCGCCAGAGGCCATCGTGGCTCTAGGATGGTTGGGGTTTGCAGGGGAAGGAGAATCACCTTTGTGTCAGACAGTTAGCGGAGCCCGGATGCATTCGTGCTGCCGATACGAGACTGGCATATACTCACCATCCATTTGTGTGGTGTGTGTCAGGTCAGGTGCCGTACAAGGGCCTCGCTCGTGTGCTGTCATCGATGAAGAAGCAAGAGAAGGCCCTCGTGCTGCTGCACAGCCAGCAGGCGCTCCCCGCCACCACCGCCACCGATGCCAACCCACCTTTACCATCTCCGTCCGATGCCTCGCCGTCACGTGTGGTCATCATCGAGCTGCTCGACTGGAAAAAGAGGGACCGAATCGACATACCATGTAATCAATGACATAAAAGCGTAGATGGCAGGATGATGCACCTGTGCTGTGTGTGTTCTCAGCCCCGATAGTGCCTGGTGAGAGCATGGGTTCGATCAGTCGTGTTGAGGTGACCCCCGCCCACCCCGCTGCTGCCAGCCAGCAACCTGTGGAGCTCGGCTGCCGCGTCAGAGGTATCCATGCAGACATAGGAGCATCTACCAAGCCATCATGCTCTTTGGTCGATTGCTGGCCTCTATCTGTAGTTTTCGTGAGTTTTCGGCGTCTGAGTGGCGATGGATCACCATCCCGGCCGTCGCGCACCAAGTCATCGCGGCACACGAAGAGGAGAGCAGATGAAGTGGCCGAGGAAGACACCTTCACGAGCGCATTCTGCCCGCTAAGGGCTGTGCCGATGGATGATGGTGCGCATGCGTTCGCCACACGCACGGATGTTGGACCCACTCCCCTCACATGCGTGTTTTCCCCCTTCAGACACATCAGCAGAAAGCGTCCAGGCAGCCCTGGACCGCTGCACGGCCGACCGAGAGCCCCTGTGCGTAGAATGGACGGTGGGGTATCATCAGGTGCCGCTGGTAGTGGACTGCGCCGTCAAGACTCTCCGGTCTGGTCATCGCGCGCTATTCAGCGGCGAGGCCCAGCTGCTGCATGTGGCGGGGCCGCTGCCGTCCCAATCGAACATCGCTTTGATGGGGCAGGGAGAGGACGGGAGGTGGCGGGAGATTGGCGTCGTTGCCTTCGACGAGTCCCTCATTCGTGCCGCTGACAAAAAGGGGGAGGTGGAGTGGGATTTGGAGCTCATGCAGATATCCAACCGGGTATGCGCCGGATGCGTGGGTGGGTGCGTGGGTGGGTGTGAGTGTATGTCTGTCTGTCTGTGTCTGCAGGAGATGGACCAGTGGGCGTTGGAGGAGTCGGCGCGGATCGACAAGGCGCGGCAGTTCAAGGAGATGGGCAACGACCTCATGCAGCACCAGCGCTGGGTCAGTGCTCGGGAGGCCTACCAGCTGGCCCTCGACTACTGCCGCTTCCTCGACGTGTATAAGTCCCTCCTCAACTCACACCAAGACGCCGACTACGGCCGACCAATCCCACCACCGGCAGCATCAACCTCAGCGCCCCTCCCCTCACCACCACAACCACCACCAGAGGACACGAGCAGCAGCAACGACGCGGCAACCGTCTACCGCCGTGGCACGTCCACCGACTCGACGGAGACCCTGTCGACCACCGTGGCCAATCTGTCCATCCCGTACGAGAAGAGCGGCGTGAGCGAGCCGAGTAAGGCCAAGTTCTTCTCGTCGCTGCACCTCAACCTGGCCCTGGTGGCCCTCAAGCTTGGGGGCTCTCGCGAGTGTGTCACCCACTGCGACAAGGTGGGCAGCAGCCCGGCAGATGAAAGGAAAAGCGTGAGTGTGTGTATGTATGCCTGCAGGCGATCAAGTTGGATCCCGATAACACGAAGGCGCTCTACCGCAAGGGCATGGCGTGTCAGCAGCTGAGCCTCTTCGGTGAGGCGGTGGGCGTGCTGGAGAGGGCGGCAGAGATGGAACCACAGGACGCTGCAATCAAGGTAAACACACAACACACCGATGCGCGTGTTGGCGGCTTAACGACTCGTTCTCTCTCTCTCTCTCTCTCTCTGTGCGTGGGTGTGCGTGTGTGTGCGTGTGTGTGTGTGTGTGTGTGTGTAGAGTGCGTTGAAGAGTGCCAAGGCGGACCAGCAGCGTGCCAGACAACAGGAGAAGAGGATGTTCGGCGGCATGTTCGCATAGACAGACAGATCGACAAGGGCATGCGATGCATCGGTAGCCAGTGCCGCATGACAGCTCGTGTACAGAGAGAGAAAGGAAATGTGTGTGGACACGTGCGCGTGACAGTCTCCCTGCTGCATTCGTAGCCACCGGCGTCGCCATAGCTGCCTGTGTGTTATTGGTCCGTCGCCAGGCGACTTCTTATAGTGTCGACGGACCGACACAATAGAAGTGGGACGGGGACGACCAAGAGACAGACAGGCCCGTATAGCATGTAGAACATCGATCGCATGTTCGTACACGTACATCTGAGTAACGTGTACGCGCGTACGCACACCATCTGCCTCCGCCTCACCCTCCAACATTTCTCATTCAGCCACAGTCAAAAAAGGGCAATCAAACCAGACTCACGCCGCCATGCGATTTCTGGTTGTGTTAATTGCCTTGGCGGCTCTCATGATGCCCGACATTGCGTCATGCCGCCACGACTCCCACAGTCACAAGCAGACAGCCCTCGCCCTCCCAAGCGACCAAAGTGAGGAGGCGACCAATCACGAGGAGAAAGAGCAGAACGAAGAGGAACAGTGAGTGTGAGACACACATGAGAGACACACAGACGTGTATGATCCATCAGTGCCTGTCTTGCTTGCTTGTGTGTGTCTCTGTGCCTCTAGTGGCGGTGAGTCAGTGGCTGATGTGTTGAAGGAGGTGGAGGAGGAAGAAGCCAAAGAAGAAGAGTCAGTCAGCGAAAACACACAGACACACACCATGACACATACTCACACCACATCAAATGACAGCGTTTGTGTGTCATCAACAGGAAGGAGTTGGCATCTGAGAGAGAGCATCACGAGGAGATCGGAGCCGAGCGCGAGAGGGAGGCCAACAGACAGCAAGAGGAGGAGAACGAACTCGCGCAACAGCAACAACAGCCAGAGTAATCCACATAAAGTCAACACCATTGCATTTTCACCAATGTCTCTTTGCCTCTGTCTTTGTCTGTCAGTCACGTGCTGCCACCTGCTGCTCCTGTGGGTGCTGGTGTGCATAAAGAGAAGCCGTGCGAAGCCGCCAAACACCTCCGAAGACTCAAGAAAGAACACGCCGAGGTACGTCACCTGCCAGGCACACGCACACATTTGCTTGTCATGTGATTGGATGCACTTGTGCCTCTGTGTGTGCGTTTCATCGATCAGCACATGCACGACGCGATAAAAGACATCATCGGCAGTATCATCAGCAAGGCGAGCGACGTGTCGCTGCTCTCGCAGGATGCGCTGGCCAAACCGGGCCAGCCATGAACACAAAATTGTGACATGAGAGCGATGCATCGATGGGTGGATGCAAGTGTGTGAGTGAAAGACAAACGTGACAACAAGGAGACACGCATGTTGAATGGATAAGTGATTGAGTGTGACACGAGCGATTGTATCGGCAGATAAGTCGCCACATCAAAATGTATCGCATCACCATCCTCCTCTTGCGATGGATCCAACATCAGTGGCCGCGGTGGCACTGCCGCTGCTGCTGCCTGTGCTATGTGCTCTCTCGAAATACGAATTGATCAACTGACACCAACCCCTCAACAACGAGCACAACTTCTTAACATGATCCATGGTCAAAAACCTCTCTGCTAACCACTTGTAGTGTGCCATATAAAAGGCGATACACATGAATAACACTTGCTGACGATATGTGAGCTGCTCACTTGATGCGCCAGATTGCATAGTGATCACAGCAACGCGTGAACGATTGGTGACGATATGTGAGCTGCTCACTTGACGACATTGAAAGGGCCATACAGCACTCCGTCAATCAGCAAGGAAAAGCCACCCTAGACGCAGGCCCCGCTTTTGTCTATCAGATGGGCAGACGACAGCCGCGGAAGCATGCACTCGCGGGCCAGCCCGTTGCGTATTATACCTTTGTGGCCTCCTGGCGGGAACTCATCAGCAGAGAGGAGGCTGTAGCGGAACGTCGGCGCCGCCTTCATTTCATCACGATTGGAGAGCGGAGACGGCCCCCACCGCCCCCCCGTCTCGAAAGCGCGAACTCGAACGAACTCGAGATCAAACGATGGGTGAGAAAGAATACAGCAAAGATGAGCTTGAGGCCATCGTCAAGCGCCTCGCTGCAGTCTCGATGGACGCAAACGACTACAGGTGCAACACGTAGATCTCACGCAGTCTCATCGATGCATCAATTGTTTCCCTGATATGGGTATCCATGGTACAGCAAAAGTTTCAGCGGCTCCAAGGAGATGGCTGCAGCGGAGAAAGAGTTTGCCACTCTCGTCAAAGACGACAAGTAATGTAGGAAGTGTGCACATGTATGGACGGCTTTGTTGGGGATGGATCTGGGCGTGGCTGGCTGCAGGAACGAGGCATCGATGGGTGGTGTGAGTGAGAAGAGCCTCACAACGGGCAAGTGGTACCGATTCCTCAATGCACAGGTAAGTAGGTTCGCACAACGACATGGAAGCGCGACCACATGACCATTCCGGCCTATTTGTGTGTCTCCTTTGGTTGGGCATGGCGCTTTTGTCGTGAATTAAGGGCACATGTTATCTGTACATCCACAACATCACAAAGGAGATCACGGGTCAGCTCCCCGATCGATTCCCCATTCTCCATGCGACAGCTTTTTGTTGGCTGCAGCCATCCGCCCTGAAAATTATGTCGACGAACCTAGTGAGAGTAATTGGGGACATGCTGCAGGCATCTTGGTGGCTGTCGTGCACACTTGTGTGTATTCAGATACGACCCAGCAGGGTGGGGATGACGATGTGAACAAGACCAAGGAGCCGACCATCCAACTCAGGCAGCTAGAGGTGGGCAAGCATCCTTTTCAAGCCTACAGGTTTGAGTGGTCTGCTATCCGTGTGTCTCCGGTGTGTTTGGTTGGCGTGTCAGGCAGAGTTGGAACGGTGCAAGAATGCCCAGAAGATACCCCTGCTCCTCTGCAACGAAGAGACACACGACAATGTGCGAGCACGGCTGTGCTCCCTACAGTGAATGAATGGCATAGCATCCACATGGTGTGTCTTGTGTTCATAGGTTGTGACCTTCTTCAAGTACAAAGGCTTTGTTCTCGACTGTCGGCCGCTGGCACTGGGCGGCATCAAAACAGGTAGATCGGTCAGGCACACACACACACACACACACAGAGACAGAGACAGAGAGAGAGAGAGAGAGAACAAAAGAGAGATGCGTCTTGATAGCTTTCCCACTTATCCATTTCCCCATTGGTCTTGCAGGTACTAAGGTTGAAGAGGCCCTCGAGAAGGGCCGCAAGACCATCGTCGCGGCGCTCAAAAATGGAGGTCAGTGAGTGGGCTGGCGCAAGACGCGCACACAGATCACACAGACGTACGTGCAGGTCGTTTGTTGGTGGACATTGCCTTCGACTGTCCTGACTTCAAGACCAAGATATGCACCATGAAGAACAAGGAGTTCTTCCCGCACCAGGTCTTCAGCTTCGGCAAGCTGGCGTCGACTAAAATCGTGTATGAGAAGCTCTACAGAGACGAAGACAAAGAGTCAGGTACAGAAACTGACCCCCCTATCCGTGAGACGTTTAGGTGTGTGTCTCTTGTCCGCGTGCGCATTCAGGTCAGTGTGCCGCTCGTGACGGGTTTGAGGTGGCCTTGGTGGCGGTGTCGCCGCCACTTACCATTGAGGCACTAACGTACGCACACACACCCCGCACATTGGGTGGGAGGGAGGGCACGTTTGGTGCTGCCGTGTGTGTGGTGCGCAGGGAGAGGATACCGGGCATCAGCTTGATGGAGGTCATACGAGTGACCAGCTGACTGATGCGGGCCCTTGATGCACGCAGAGGGAGGGATGGATGGAGGGAGGGAGGGAGGGAGGGAGGGAAGGCAAATCGCACTTGTCACTTGTCACTTGTCATGTGTGCGTGGGTGTGGATGTGATTGGGTGGTGTGTTGTCGTCACAAATGTCTCGCGGATCGAGTGAGCATCTTTGAGACACCGACAAATAGTCACGCCATCGACCGTCGGTCCTCCGCACACATACAACACAACACAACACAACCAGTACTGTCTGTCTCCGTCTGTGTGTGGCTCTCACGCGCCCAAAATGCCTAATTAATCGCGGTGACAGCTGTGACCCGCCCGCCTTGATGTGTGTGCATTTATATATGTACGCGACAGACACCAACCCAACCCTCAGCCAAGCCAGCCACATTTCATGCTGCATATGAAATGCATCCATCGACCGAGGGGACGCCATGAACACCCACGGCACACAGACGGACAGACAGACAGGCAGACAGACAGGTGGATGTAATGTGTGTGCAAAACCTGACGGACAGAAAGTAGTAGGGTAGGTAGCCACATATATACGCACACGCATGGGATGGCACGGCGAGGCGTTCACACATACATAACATACACCCATGCAGGCCATGTGTAGTGTGTCATTGACAGACAGACAGACAAAATGGGCTGGCTGATGCATTGATTGCAAGTAAGGGGCGGGATGAGATAGATGCAAGGAGATGATGGGGCGGGGTGAGGTGAGTGGTGTGGGGGTCTTGTCTAAACATAATACGGAGAACTCATCCACCCGTCCATCGACCCATCAATCCGCCGGTAACGGCCAACGTCCAGTCTACATACCCCCAAGTCTCCAGGCTGCCTGTCCTCTCATGACGTCCCATCGGCAGGCACCGACGTGCACCATATGAGCCGATGGGACGGCTGAGAGTGTCACCGGCTGTCCTCCGTCTCCTGGGCCAGGAAATCCATGAACTGATCAACAAGCGTTGACTGCAAAAATGCACACACAGACACACGCATGGAGTTGAGAGACGAATTGTCTGTCTGTTGTCTCTCTGGGTGTATGTGTGTGTGTGTGTGTGTATGTGGGTAGCTGTGCGTACCGTTGGCTGTTGTGGGTGCTGCGGTTGCTGCTGCTGCAGTCGAGCGCCGATGAGCCCCACCTTCTCCTTGTCCGCCTCGGAGAACTGCAGCATCTCACTCATCAGTGACAACAGCTCACGCTGACGGTCGTGGAGGCCCTGACACACACACACATGGCAGGCACACCAAGGAGGGACAATGAGTGTGTATCATTGTGGGTGTGCGTTGGGATGGATGGATGGATGGATGCACCGTCTGTCCGTGAATACCATGACGTGCGACTCGACGTATCCCGTGAGCATGTCGTTGACGACCCGTCGGTCGACCATGAAGTGCTTCTCCTCCGTCTCCTTCTGCAGACGAGCCAACAGACCCTCCACGCTGCTACTGCAATACCCGCAGCCACATCAAAGAAACCACACACATGTTGCACGCCAAGAGGGCCCATGGTTTGCGCGGCTTTCCATACTACCTGTAGTTCTTCAGCTCGTTTTCGAGAAATGCCTTCCTCTGCAGTAGGTCATTCCTTTCCTCCGTGACAGCCTCAAGCTGCTTCCGAAGCGACACCACCTCACTGTGCAGCTCAGACACCTGCGCACACGCACCCACACAGCCATCTACCTGCTCTCTCCTGCGCACACTCGGACGCACCAACCTGCTCTAGCTGTCGCTTCGCTGCGTTGGTCTCCATCCTTGCGGACGTCAGCTCGTTCTCGAGACGGCTCACGGCCGAGTCACGCTCATCCTGACAGACAGGTACACACAAAACAAAAATGGCGTGGTCGGTCTGTCGGTCGAGCAGCCACGGCGAGCGCACATGCGCCTACCTGCATTTCCTCTAGGACGGCATTGAGGCGGTCGAGTGCGCTCTGTGTGGCCCGCAGGTCACGCAGGGCGGCGTCACGCTCCTCACGTAACACAGCAGAGTCGCTCTCTGGTGCACACACAACGATCAATGAAATGGACAAGTGCGGGGGGCCTGTTGTGTGTCTAGTCAGTCAGCGAGAGGTCACCGAGGTACCTTGTGTTTTTCTGTTTCGTTCCCTGTCTTCGTATTGGCTGAGGGCGAACCTGGCCTCCTCGAGATTCCTCTCCAACACACCCACAGACTGATTGATCATCGATCGCATGCATCAGTAGACACAGCCAGACGCATCCACAGTTCTTCGTCCTGTGTGTGGCTCCTCAAGTATGCACCCACCTCGCATCGTGCTCTGAGGTCGGCGACCTCGAGAGAAATCTGCTGCAGCGACTCGGACACCGTCGAGTGGGCTTGCTGCCACTGCCTAGTCTCGCGCACAGCGTCGTCCCGCTCCTGCTGCAGCTGCTGAGCACGGTTCTGGCCAACACACACATACACAGAGATGGATCGCCGTGTCACTGGCATGTGCAGGTGCTGTGTTGACCTCGTTTTGCTGGAGGTCTCTGCACGTGGTCTGCAGCCGGGTGTACTGAATCATCAACGCGTCGTACCGCTCCCTGAGGACAGACAGACAGACAGACCAACAGACAGATGCCTCACGTTGGTGAGCGTGTGTGTGTGTGTGTGTGGCCCTCCCTCCCTCTGGTGACTGACTTGTATGCCTCCACGTGTTGCCTGAGTGCAATGGTCTCACGCCGCAGTGCTTCTAACTCACTGCTCACATCACCACTCCCGTCAAGCTGGACAAACAACATCCATCAAACATGCTGGTAGGAGAATGGAATAAACCACCCATCCCTTGTCAGTGCACGTCAATTACGTGTGTCTGCTGTTGTGTGAGCGGTGGTGCCACGGGTGGTTGTAACTGCTGCTGCAGGAGCCGATGCAGCTCTCGCTGCGACACCTCCAGCTGCCCACGCAGCTCCTCGCTCTGACGCTGAAGCATACCCAGCTGAAAAACCATACACACACACACACACTCGTCAATGCATTCAATGAAGAGGCTGACATGTGGGACGCTTTGACCCTCATCTATCTCACCTTTCCCTCGGCCTCTTCCCTGAGGGCCTTTTCCCTGCCCACTTGCTCCACCAGCTCGTCAGCCCCCGCCGGTAGACTCATTCCCGAGGTGGTGCCCGTGCCCGTCTTGGTGGTCGGGCTGGGCTGACTCGGCGGAGACGACACATTCGACCCACTCATCATCACCGGGGACGACGCTTGGCCTTGTTGCTGCTGCTGGTGCTGTGCCACCTGTGCCCGGAGGTGCTGCAGCTCCTTGTGGTGGGCGCAGGCCTGGTCGGCCAGGTGCCAGGTGCAGTCGACGAGCTGTAGGAAGATGCGAATGACGTCCCAGAAGAGGTGCGGCTCGTCGGCCTTGCCGCGGGCGGGGGCGTGGCCCCACTGCAGCAGGGCGATGGCGCATGGGGTCTTCTCGGCGATGCGATGCAACGCTGACTGAGTGGGGTCATGACCTGAGAAACGGAAGGCAACACACGGCCACCCATGGCATGGATGCTTGTGTTTGTCCTGTCCGCCCACTGGCTCACTCACTCACCGGCAATGGCTCCCCATCGGTCAAATGCGATTTGAGCAATCGACCTCATCCGAATGAGCCGTCTTGAGAGCACCCCAGCCAGGTCGATGAGTGGGGGCTTGGCGTGTGGGTCGCCCGAGGCGTGTTGTGCGCCTATACCATCATCATCCCTGGGGTGCTCCATCTGCAGCTGCTCATACAGGTCGGGCGGCACCTGCGCCAGCTCCGTTGTCAGCCGAAACAGGAGGGTCCGCAGCTGTGACTCCTTCTCCACACTCAGCCCGGCCGAAGGGGACACCAGCTGCACCATCTCGAACTCGGACGCTGCAGTGCCGCATTTCATCAAGCAGGCAGACAATATTTATTGATGGTTGCCTCAGTGAGGTCTTCTGGCTTTCTGGTTTGTTCACATACCATCGCACTGCGTCATTTCGTCTTTGCCAGGCAGCAGGAGGGCGGGGGAGCTCCTTGACGTGATCGACGAAGGCTCACTCTACCGGACATGGGAGGACACAGATGCACACACCATGAGGACGTTTAGACGTGTGTGCTTCTTTCCCCTTCTTTCGTGCATACCGTCAGGGCAGTAGGTGTCGCGGTGGCTTGTCGTTTCATGAGCTCTTCATAGCGCATCTGCAGGTCGTCCCGCTGCCTCTGCAGCCCCGTCAGCTCCGCATACATCTTCCGGGACTCCTCTACTGCACCACACAACCATACACACACACACACACACGCACCGACTACATCCCTTTCCCGCGAAGACGTGTAGCCTGGCTGGCTGCCTGGCTGGTGCTGTCTGGCCACCTTTGTTTTGCATCTCCTGGTCCCTCCTCCTGAGCTGTTGACGCAAGATCTCATTCTGCCGCTGGGCCTCGCGCAGCTGCTCCTCACGCGCATGAGCTGCCACGCGGAGCGTTTCTATCTCGGTGGCCGAGCTGCCCGCCGCTGCTGCAGGCCCTGACGAGGAGGGAAATCCCTCACCCCTACGAGTTCCCTGTAAAGGAGAGGCAAAACACGAAAGAATGACGTCACGAAGCGGACTGTAAGATAGTTTTTGTGGTTTTGTGCAATGCCGTTCACCTCTGGCGATTCGTCATCCTCCAGCAGCGAGGCCAGCCCTTTGCCTATCTTACTCAGCATCGCCGCTCTGCCACCCACAGGTCCATATGAAACCAAACTGTGCAGCGTGATCTACGCAGAATGCGGCTGTTTCTCAAAGCACGGGATGGTTACAGGTACGAGAAAGCGCCAAGTCTTCTCACGAAACCACAACTTGCAGCTCGCAAATTTAAAGCTCGCAAGGAGAGAGGAGGAAAGAGGAAAAGGAAGGAGGAGAAGGGGTTTCGGGTCAACAAGTGCAGGCACTGAACATCTGCACATCCGTGGGCCCGGAGAAGGAGAAAAACTTGTCGACCATTGGCCATTTTTCGGGAACCAAGACGGCAACACGGCCAATCGGATGCGTGCAGCGGCACAGGAGGTCCCACCGTGGTACATCTGGCTTGTACTATCCCTCATTGCCGTCTTGGCTCATGGCGATGACGTTCCACGGCTGGCGTCCATCACCGTCCGCTACTCTGACCAACCCATCGACCTCATCCCGCCTTTCGACCCAGATATCTTCGCCTACACGGCCTTTCTCGACTACAGCGTGCCATCGTGTCGCGTGGAGCCTCGTGCGGCCAGCAGCAGCGATGTGGTAGAGCATCCGACGGCAGACATCCAGGTGGCGAGGGGCGGGGAGCAGATCGTCACGGTGGTGGCGGCGCTGAGCGGGGAGGAGTCGGTCAGGCAGCCGTACAAGCTGACCATCAAGCGGATGATCGGCACGGAAACGGCCCTCAAGGGCCTCAAGATGGGCAGCGCCCTCACCCTCGCCCCGCCATTCGACCCACAAACACGGGAGTATGCGGTGGCGGTGCCCTTGGGCGACGACGCCGTGAGTGTGTTCTACCAGCCATCTGACGTGGGTCAGTACATCGAGGTGGACTCGTACCCGCAGCAGCCGACGACGAGGCGGCGGCTGCAGCTGTACCGGGCGAGCCCTCCCGTGTCGCGTGGGGAGGAGCAGCACAAGTTTGTGGAGGGGCAGTTCCCTATCGACCTGGGCATGACCAGAAGAATACTCATACGGATACAGGTACCTACCTGTCTGAGGGAGGGAGAGGGGGGAGAGGGAGGGAGAGAGAGAGGGAGAGAGGGCCGCTGTGCATCAATCGCTCGACAGCCATGTGTGGATGCAGTCTGCGGGTCCGGCCAAGTCGACTTCCACCTACACGGTGACATTGTCCCGGCCGCAATGTCCGGACAAGCGGCCGCTCTTCGACCCGGAGAAGCGGCGCTGCTTCGACTCATGCAACGAGGGATACTTCAGCGACCCTGATACGAACAGGTCAGCACGCACACACATCGATGGGTGACATTTACACCCGCACATAGAGGAAGGTGTTGGGCGGTGCGGTGTGTGTAGGTGTGAGCAGTGCAACGTGTTTTGCCGTCGGTGCACGAGCATTTTGGATTGCCTGGCGTGCTACCGGGACGACGACGACTACACTTACGCCCTTAGCCCCAAAGGCGACGGATCATGCAGAAGAGCGTGAGCAAACATGACACCATACATACACCCATAGACAGACCATGCACAGCACACGGAACCCTCGCTCGCATGGTGTTGTATCTAATTTTCAGAGTGCGTCACGTGGCTGATGAGTACCAGTGGGTGATAGTGCCTCTAGCCATTTTGCTGGTGGTGCTGGTGATGGTGGGGCTGTTCGGCTTCCTCTTTTTCTTCATGCGATGGAGGAAGCGGCAGATATGGGAGCAGTACTACGAAGACGACGACGAAGAAGAGCTGCTAGACTACTACCCCGACCACCGGGATGCCGTGGCGCTGGCCAGTGGATAGGGGGGGTGGGATGGGGGGCAACGGGCGGTCAGACACAGTTGTGTCCCGGCCCACTGTGGGGGTGTGGTGTGTACATACCCGTGGCGGGACGTGATGCGTGTGTGTGCCAATGCATTGTGGTGAGTGACCTACGTGATCCATCTTTCTTCTGCCTGTGAAGCTATTTGTCACACATCCATCCAATTCAGCTTCAGCCTCCAACAAGCCAGGTATGAATGAATGAATGCAGCCAGCACTCACTCAGTCGCATCGCACCCTTCCAGCGTCTGCCTCTGTCCGTCCATCAACAACCCACCCCACCCCGCCCCGCACACACGCATCAAACGCGCAGCATCCATCCCTGCCTGATCTATCGCCCGTCTGGTACATGGCTCTCCTGCTGGATGAGGTTGGTCTCAGAGGTGTATGTGCGGCGCTTCGGGAGGCTGTTGCTGGCAGGCGATGGGAACTTGGGGTGCGACACGTGTGCCTTGGTCTGGTGTGGGGCATGCTCCTGCTGCTGGTGTTGGTGGTGCTGCTGATGTGGCTCGAGGCCTCTCAAGTTGGCGATGTTGCGATTGAGGGAATGCAGCGCCTGCATGGCATGGGGGACAGACAGATGGAGTGAAAGAGACATCTTTAGATGTCATGTGGCTCTCTCTCTCTCTCTCTGTGATGTCTGACTGTGCTTACTTCGAGGTGGGCGCTGGTGCTCTCAACATTCGACACCACCTGGTGGACGCACACACACACAGACACACACATTCAGTCACTGGGGTCTGCCACTGTTGTTTGTCTGCCCGCTTGCTCACCCGTCGCGTGGCCGCCTCGGGCAGCTCTACCAAAGCAGCGGTGTCAAAGCTGTCTGCACAGCGCGTCACACAGAGAGAGAGACCTGAGCTGATCGATGGGCTTGTTGGCTGTCAGTGTCTGTCTGAACTGACTGAGTTGGGTGGTGATGTAGTTTTTGACGTCGGCGTAGTAGTTGAGCAGCCCCACCTCGTCAGCAGCCGCCACATGGCTTCTGATCTTGGCGGCGCACTCATCCAGCTGCCGGCTCTTCTCCTTGGCCGTACGCAGGTGGCTGTCCAACTCGTCCATACTCTGCCCACACCCACACAGAACACAGGCAGGGTGAGAGGGAGGGAGGGTGTCTCATATATATGATGGCTCGGGCGGCGCTGTGCAGATCACATGCCTCCTCAAGGAAGAGCTCAGCGTTCTTGAGCAGCTCGCTCTCCTTCTTGACCAGACGCTGCTTCACATCCTGTCGGCAGCAGACCATCACCAGCAGCAGAGAGACACGTTGCCGACGGAGGGCTAGGCTCATGTGTCCGATTTTCAACCTCAAAGGCCTTGGCCATCTGGTGTTTGGCCGCGTGCACCGACGCTGTCAGATCACGACTAATGGGATGGAATGGACACACACACAGACACAGACACAGACACAGACACACAGCTCTCGCTGAGCGGGGAGAAGAATGTGATGGAATGGTGAGTCGCGCGTGCCGGTGTTGTTCGATTCGTTGCTCGACGATGGCGAGTTCCTCAACGCGTGTGGTGACATTGTATAGGTAGTCCTCCACCTTGCCCTTCACCAATGGATAGGCACGCTTTATGTTCTGCACCTCGTGGCCCTTGTGAATGCCTACCAAGACACACACAGACAGACAGACAGACAGCCCTGTATGTCGTCTGTCAGCTGTCTGGGTACCTCCCTACCGTGTATAACGCATTCAGCACAGACACATGCCGACTCGCACGTGAGGCAGAAGTACTGCACCACCTCGTCAGGATGGTCGCGACACGGCATCAGACTGCACGCAAAAGTATGTATGCCACCCACCCACCCATAACGGCACGCCATTGTGTGTCAATGAGTCACCTCTTGAGCGAGAGTGAGCTGCGTCGCGAATTCTCCGAGAATGGGCTGGCGGAAATCGCCGGAATGATGTCAGAAAACTGCACATTAACGACACGTGGCATCCATCCATCCCTCCAGCGTGGCCTTGTCGTCATTGTTGTCTCTCCACGCACCTTATCAGCATCCTGTGGCTGCTTCCGGGGGACGATGGCGTGACTCAGACGGTTGGCCCCGCCTAGCGGCCGCACCGCCTCACCCCGATAAGCCGTCAACGTGTGGGAGGACACCGGGTGGCACATGACCATGTCTGTCTGTGTGACAGTGTCCCTGCTTGTCACTCAGACACGTGGACACCCGGAGATGACTGCTGTCCATGTCTCTGGCAGTGTGTCTCACCGTCTGTCGCGCTGTCCGCATGTGCCCTTGGCCGAGAAGGTCGGCAGAGGGGGGAGGGGCGAAGGGGTGAGGGCGACATGCCGCGCCCCCTCCTTGCGAACAACCGGCTCCTTGCCTGGGGTAGCGAACGAGGGCGCGCCGCTGGTGGACGATGGGGGCGAGACTACGAAGCTGGGGTCGCGTGAGGGAGGGGAAGGGCCCTGCAGCAACTGCTCCGCAGACTGGGGGTCAACGGCCTGCAGCAATTGACAAGACGACGGAAGGAGGGAGTGATGGATGCCATTGCTTTGCAAAGGAGCGAGCCCACAACTCACCGTTGGGGCGCCACAGATAGAGCAGTGGATCGTCTGCAGAAAGAGTGCAGTCACCACATCAGCTGCGTGTGCAGCAAGAGTCCCGTTTGCCAGCGTGTTGCATACCATACCAGGTTGGTGCTTGTTTTGAGAGCGTTGGCGGCGCATATGAGGCAGAGGTTGTGGTCGCAGCTGAGGATGAGGGCGTCCTCCAGCGGACGGAAACAGGCAGCACACTTGGGTGGAGGCGGAGTCTGGTCATCCAAGATGCAGTCCGCCGGCATCTCGGTCACCAGGCTGCTGCCAATGGCTTTTCCGCCTTCCTGGAGTGACGGTTGGACGGCGTCTTGGCCCCCTCCATCTGCATGCGACCCCCAGTCTCGGTCTTTGTCCATAGAAGAAATGAGCGAATGGGAGGGAATGGCCCCTGTCTGCACAGCACTTACAGAGGGTGGCTGCCGTCCTCACGCGAATCTTGCACCGTCATGTCACACAGATCTCACGCTGCAACCCTCTGTACGTATCCGCGAGGGGATCCGAAGACCACACACGGACAGAAAAACGGACTCTGTGTCCGATGCGCTTCCGGTCAAATGCCTTTCCCCGCCCCCCTCACTGTCTGTCTCCATGAATCCAGCAATCAATCAACAGACACCTTTTTCAACACATGCATCACATCACATCATCACAGGATCCCCCTTGCCTGGCCTTGCACCGCTCTGTCCGTCACCCGTCCTTGGGTGCCGCCGCCGGCCCACCAGCTGCTGCAGCAGCAGCGGTGGTCGGCTTGCTGGCTGCAGATCTGGCGGGCATCATGGCCAAGTCAGAGAGAAACTGACGGGCATCGATCCTGAACACACAAAAGGCAGCACAGCAGGATGACAGAGATGGTTGCCGCTCTGTGTGCCCTTCATTCATTCACGGCTGACCTGCTGCCGAAGCGGTCAGCGCCTTCGTGGTAGGCCTCACGCTCTGCAGCAAAGAAAGACACAGGCAGAGAAGCAAGGGATCTGTGACGGCTGCCGTGAAGTGTGTGCTGTATGGTATGTGTGTCCATTGGTGTGGCTGGCTGCATGCCTTTGATTTGTTCGTCGTCGAGGCTCTTCATGCGCTTCCGCTTGTCGCGAATGCTGGCGTTTGTCTCGGGGTAAGTCGGCATCAGATGAGCCTGCTGCGGCTTGGGCGCCTCCTGCACACACACACACACACACACATCCACACACACACAGGAAACGCAATCCTGCTGCATTTCCGTGTGGTTGTGGCTGTGGCGTGCTTGCCTTGAAGTAGGGGTGGTCGAGCGCCTCGGCAGCCGTGATTCGTGCCTTAGGGTTGGGGTCCAGCAGACGAATCATCAGATCAAGCCCAGTATCGGTCAACGAACACCCGCCCTGACCAACCAACCACACACACGTATCGGTCGGGTCAGGTGGTCCGCGTGGCTCTTGTTTCCTTCCTTCCCCACCCCACTGACCGTGTAAGATGCCCTGGGGAACTTCTCTCTCCATGTGGGCCGGATGTTCTTGATCTTGACACGACCTGCCTTGATGTGCGGCAGCTCGCCAAAACCCGGCCATGTGCTCTCACTCGGGGAACCTGAACACGCACACAACGATACACAGACAGATTCGCTGCGTCTGGTGGGTTGGTGCTTGGTGCCTACCTGTGAGTCTGAAGATGTTGTCGATTTGGTCCTTTTCGTTTTTGCCGGGAAAGATGGGCGTCCGCAGTATCATCTCAGCGAAGATGCACCCTACCGACCAGACGTCGATGGCCTGCGTGTACTGCCTCTCGCCCAACAGCAGCTCGGGGGCACGGTACCACAGAGTCACCACCTGCAGAGGGACCGTAGCACACAGAAAAACAGACTCACTCATCGATACACGCCCACTTTTCCCGTCTGTCTGTCTGTCTGTCTGGCCTGTTTGGTTGCTGCTCACATGATGCGTGTAGACACGAATGGGCGCGCCATACTTGCGGGCAAGGCCAAAGTCACACACCTGCAGCAACCAAGGAACCAACGGCATCCACATGTGTGTGTGTGTGTGTGTGTGTGTGTGATAGTTGGAGGTCGCCTACCTTGAGGACGCCCTGGTTGTTGAACAGTAGGTTGCTTGTTTTGAGGTCGCGGTGGAGTATCCAATGGTGATGCATGTACGCCACCGCACGGAGCAACTGAAATACCAGACACATCATCCCCCAGCGGCAATGAACAGCACTTTCCTGGCCGGGCTGTTCAGCCAGCTGCATACCTGTAGGAGCAGGGCTTTGACTTCTGCGACCGAGAATGAGTTCTTCATGTCCTCCAGAAGGGCCTTGAGCTCGTGCTCCATGTACTCCATCACCTGCAAAATGCATTCATTGATTGTATGGTGGAAGAAGACGCACATCACATCACATCCACAGACAAACGACGGACAGGTACGGTTGGTACGGTTGTGGCTGGCTGACCATGAAGATGTGGGTGGGGCTCTTGCCAACCACAACCTGTGGTTAGTTGGGGTGGACAGACACACACATACACACATACACACATACACACATACATACAGGCAAGCAAGGAAGGCACAGCATGGCTTGTCACTTTCTCTGACTTTTCCGCTATATTACCTCTTTGACATCAACGATGTTTTCGTGTTGCATGTTGAGGAGGATGCTGATCTCCCGAAGGCTGGTGATGGGGAAGCCCTCCTTCTCCTGCTTCTCGTGATACTTGATCTGCTTCAACGCCTGATTGATGTCCACACACACATGCCACACCACACACCATAATATCAGCGCACCCTGAACGAATGGCTGCACGTGTTCACCATCGATGTGTGTGCTGTGACTCGGCTGACCACGATTTCACCGGTTTCTGTGTTTTGTGCCCTGAAGACGACCCCATAGGTGCCCTCGTCGATTTTGTTGAGCTTCTTGAAGATGTTGACGCTGCGGCAGCCATGCACCAACGGGTCATGCACACGACGGGGGACCGAGGGTGGCGGCGGGGACAGCTGGGGAGGAACAGTGGGAGGGGAGGGCGAGGGCTGCGATGGTGGCAAGATGTCATCCTGGTCATTGTCTATCTGCACACACACACACATATGTATGTGTTGATGTGTTGCAGACAGAGCCGAGTAAGACAGCCAGTCGTGGGAACTGTACCTCATCAGGTGCGATTCTCAGCCGCTTTGCTGGCGGTTCTTGTGCCTGCTGACTGGGGCTGCTGTTCCGCTGCTGTTGCTGCTGCTCTTGCTCATGCTCTTGCCTCTCATGCTCCGGCGTCAGCAGCGGATGATCAGCCTCACCAGCGTGATGCTCAGGCGTCAGGAGAGCCTCCCTCCCCTGATCTGCCGCGGCACCTTCAGCCATCTTGACATCGTCGCTCATCACATCATCAGATGGGCGTCATGCTTGGTTGGTTGGTTGTTGTGTTTGGCGTCAGTGGGGAGAGAAGTGCAGGAACAGGAATCCTTTTCAAGCTCCCAAAATGAAGTCGGAGCTCGCGTTGGTTCCTCTAGCGGACTAGTGCTTTTCTCGCCTTGATCTCGGTTGCAGTCATGGACAATCCACCCTCCGCACCATCCGTGACATCTCCCGGCGAACACCACGTTGGCTGTCCAAGAGATGGGATCAGCGAGGCGTTGCCTCGGCACGCCTCAGCGGATACCCTCGTGAGCGTGTGCAAATGGATCCTTGCTCACACCCCGTGCGTCAGGCATGTGCCTGCGGACGAATTCACCCACAACCTCATCACGTAGGAATAGACGACAGGAACACCCGGATCTGTGCATCTGGCTGTGCTGTGTGTTGTCTGGTCTGACAGGCTGCTGGAGTCCTGCGCCGGGCTGCAGTTCCTTCCCATCGAAACACTCGACAGTCTGCGGCCAGTGGTGAGCTGATCGCGGCCTTTGCAAACACATCGAACCGCACCCATCCTATTGGCTGGGTGGCTGGGTCTGTCTGGCTGCGTGTGTTGTTTTGTGTCAGGTTCTCCATGTGTTTGAGAATACCGCCTGTCTAGCCTCTCCCGAGTTCACTCCTCGGCTGCAGAACCTGCTCACGACACTGCGGCGTCGCTCGCTCATCCCCCGAGTGGCCGTGCCCAGGCTGCTGACGCTCTTCACCGACACACCGTATGAGATGAGATCACACACGAATCGATACACACACACTTCATGAGAGTGATGGTGTGATTCTGCCTGTCCTCTTGTCAGCGGTGCCCCTCCCCCGCCCGCCTTGCCGACTGGCCAGGAAGGGATCATCTCCGCTGCCCTGCGTGAGGTGGACGCCACCAACTCCCTCGCACCCGATCGTCTGTCTGTTCTCATGAGGGCATACAGCCACGTGTCGAGCCAGCTGATGGGTCTCTTCGGCCCTGACACACAAGTTCTATCGTACGGCTCAGCTCTCAACACCTTCGGCCTGGTGGACTCCGATCTCGACGTGGTGGCCATCATCCCCTCTGCGGCAGCTGTGACTAGCGCTGTCGATCGCATGGCATCAGGGGCTGCTGATGCTGCTGCCCCGGCCTCTTCCTCTGACGCGCCGCCGGCCTTCGATCGTGGGCTGCGGTCTGAGGAGCTGCCTGACTGTCCCGAACTGAGCCGGGACGACGTGCTGGCGGCGGCGGGGGCATGCGAAACATACTTTCAGCAGCGAGGGTAGGTGGGCAGGCAGGCACGATTTCTTAAGGTGCGGGTGGCGACGACGCGTGTGTTGGTGTGTTTGTCTGGATGGGGGGGGG